GGTTTATTTTCAAGTGTAACTCGGTGAAAACCGAAGAAATATTTATGATTTAAACTTCTAACGACCTTATTTGATGCCTGCGCATAAGACTTATTCCTTAGCGCAGACCCTGAATGGATGGATAGCGATGCTTTCTGCTCAATCTATTTATAGCAGGGCATATTATTTTGCAAAGAACAAACATTCACATATATTCCTGAACAGTCTGTGTGTACGCTATCAAAATGGATTTGTTCAGCAGACGTTGTTTGCAATGCGGAATCGCAGATTTTCGTTTATATACACCAAAGGAATTTATTGCGCCAACGATCCACAAGAGCTGTTTCAAAACAGGATAACGTGTGGTGGAATACATCACAATTGCCTAATTGTGGTCATGTGAACAGTATAAGCATTAGTTGCTTCTTTCCAGCCAAGTGAAAATTGTTTTAAATGTGGAAGTAGAGAGGGATCCCTCGGTCAGTCAGTCAGTCCATTAAATGGGTTATGCCATGGGATAGTGGAGCATGGAGGAAAATTTGTATTTATCGTATTCGAACCCATAGCACTACATTAATAGTAATGCAGTCTCAACTATCTACCCCCTAACTTTTTTCCAACTTTTGTAATTTATTCAGTAAATTCGCATTTGATTGGTGTTAAGAACCTATCCCAATAAAAGAACAGCTTTTTCACAGTGCTTTAAAGCAGCACGGCAGGGAGTAACTAAAGTCGGCGAACTCCCGATCCTTTTGTGACATTCAAACAGCAATTGATAGCACCGACAATGCTGGGTACCTCCATCAAATCGATTCTAATTAAGAAGACACATCCCGTCACTGCCAACGTCTTTCTCCTCTTATTGATAATTTTTCATTTGGGGAAAATAATCTATGTGAAATTCCCATCACTTCGCTTACCATTCGCACACATGTGCGACTCTTCTCCTTACTACTGCTGTGGATAACCGTCCTGCAACCCTTCCAGTAGCATTTAATTTAACTATTACAGGCATAGCTATTCATTGTCTCAAAAACACCTCACTAGCTAGCAAGATGATTTTCCTGGAATATTTATGTTGCTTACACAACAGACCGTTAGATATTCTTACTGACCCCAAAAGTCACCAAACATCCTCTCCTACCATTAGTTTTGTTTCCTGCACTCATGCCACTTTAACTAAACTTTGCTAATTCACTAGCCTCTAATTCTTCTTCAATCCCAGTATACAAAGTTCCTAAGGCACCACCTATTTTAAGGAGTCAGTCAAGACGATCCTATTCAAACCTGTATAACAAAGCATTGGATAGTTGTAAGGTGTGGCACACCAGCCCTGACAGATCCACTTTGCCTCAGTAGAATGTGTTACTGACACAGTCAACAGAAGCAGTGGTGTGGATGAGCAATCCCAGCTTTTGTGTTCTTCATTTTCATGCGGTTCTTTACCAAGCTTCTCTATTGGCTATTTTTAGGTAGTCATTCGTGATATAGTGGTTATATCACATGACGTTATTTATTGAGTCAACCCATACAATGTTAAAGTGACTAAGAATATTAGGACAATGCAATAACATACACTTTCGCATATAAAGACGTAAGGGCGATGAGGCTGGCTCCGATTGTCTTCTAGCAGGTACGCAAGGTGAACAATTTAAGGAAGAAAAAAGGGGGAGGATGATTAAGCAGAACTGAGACACTTGAAACCACAAGGTGTTGCGCCCAGTGTACACGTACACAAGTATTCCCTCTAAAGGTGCCGATCTTGAACTATTTCGTAAACACACGACCAAAAACTAAGTTGACCACTTCGAGCAATGAGATCCAAACTGGGTTATATCACTACTAACAGTAAGTTGGTTAAGCACGAGTTTGTAGATAGCACAAAGGTTTTGATCATGTGCATTGGCACCAATTAAGGAAGAGGTGATGAGCATGCCTTCAAACCCAGATATCATCAGTGTTTGATTTTTAGAGGTGTCCTGCTAATAGCTAACTTCCTAATCATTTCAAAAACTGCGCTCTTGCTCACTCTATTTGCTGATTAAAACCATTTTTGGGTAGAATTTATGTGCACTATTGCTCACATCAAGTTTAAGGTAGGACAATGAATGCAGCAGCCGTAACCGCGAAAGGATGGACGCCTTTTCTCGTAAACCTTGAATCACAACAGAGTTGGGAGACATGTTGTCGCTGTCCTTTGAGCGATAAAAAATTGGACATAGATGGTGATTTATCCAAGGTGTCGATGCTACTTGCAAATTATGAAATGTTTATCGGTTGCAAACATAATTACCTGCTGTGTGCAGTACGTTTTGTAAAATTTGGGTCTTTATTTTCTTTTAAAGTTTGCATGAGTATTTGTTATCCGCCATAGTGAGATGATTTTCAAGTCGTGAGTTAGTAAATATACATCAGGCTGCGCTCGCACGCCTTATCTTATAGTCACCACCACCAATTATCATGGCAATAAATATTTGGACTCCTGGTCGAGATCCTTAGCAATATTTGCTGTACGATACCTATTTATTCAAGGATTACAAATAGACTGCACAATACAGAAGTCGATACGGAGCAGTTCTGACGGATAATTTTGCTGAAAGTGAAAGTACGAATGAGCAAATTTCTCTCTCACTACATCACTCACTTGTGTTTGCACTTTTCGTTTACCCTAAGCTGTGCCAAATTTGTGCCCTACCCATTTACCACTTACTCCCTTCTTTAATAACAATATCGAGAGCAGATAATCAGTCCGTTTATATTAAATTTTGCTTTGCTGATTATCTCCTCTTTGGATAGGTGGTGCTACTAATGGGTGCCGTTACGTATCCACCTGTTTTCTTACACTTATCTGCATTGGTTAGTGCTTTTGCTAATAATATTGGACGTGCAATGCCTCCATGTTTGCCAGTGAATTGAATTTGCACATCTCTAGAGTCCTCTTAAAACCTACTGTATTTTACTTAAAGTAGAATGTTCTTCAAGAGATTTTTAAATATTTTCTAAATTGTAGACTTTCCACAGCCCAAAATTTAACAGATTGTGATTCTT